AACGACACCTACTATATATATATATATATATATATATAGTCTCAACATTTTTGGATACTCATTGCCCTTTGTTTTGTAATACAAAATTCCTTTAGTAATGGCATTTTTTGTCATTAGGAGGCGTGGGATAGATATTTCTATAAGAAACTAGCCGCATTTTACTAGTGGTTAAGAAACAATCATTGCTCCATGTGGATGATGTCATCCTCCACTATAGTTAATTAATGAGTATCTTTTTATCAATAATTTCTACTTTACTTATTATAAATTAGCTAAAATGCCCCTAAACGAAAAAAATATTACATGGTGGGGGTAAAGGTATCAAGTGTCAAAAAATGTTGAGTACCGTAAGGAAATACCCATATGTATGAGTATCCTAACATAACCTATATATATGTCCTTAATGTTTGTATTTGGTGTATTTATACATAGGTGTGTTTATCCGTGTAGGTTTTCAGGTTTTTGTTGCATTCCATAATTTATTTTCCCACTAAATAACATGAATGAGATTAACTTGTGCACATTACAAACTTTAAGTGTTAGCTTGAAACCATATCCAACTAAAAAGTAAGATACAGAAGCAGGTAAAAAATACAAAATTTTACATTAGAACAGCCTTTTGATACGTTCAAAAATTGCATTGGATCAGCTTTTGGCAGACTATTCTTTGTTGCATAACAATTAAATTGAACTCTCATTATTTATGCCTAAATTGTGTTAATACTTGTACTGGTGAAACCTCATTCATAAAAGCCATTAATGAATCTTATCTTTATCCAATACGACTTCTAGTTTTTTAAACTTGTTTATAACCTCAAAAGACAAAGATATAACCAGTATAGTGAAACATAGCTCATATAGATGGAATTGTAAGCACCCTGTTGGCACATTTGGATTTTATACAAATCTAATGTCCTTATTAGAAGCTGATTTCATTCTTGTGCTTTAGTTTCATGTTTTTCAGTTCGGCTTCAACTCGTTCCTTCCTTCCTGTGGTGTGCCTAGGCGTAAGTTGGGGGGTGCATTAAGGAAATAAGTTTGTTGGGTTTGATTGGATTCATAGAAGAGGCCATTGGCCAAATGAGGAGACAGTTTTTGACTTTCAGGATGTACAATCTAAGAGAAGGGTTTTTTTCTTTTCTTCTTATTCTTCTTGTTTTTTGGTGGGGAAATTATTTATAAAAGGATCATTCTTTGGCACGTGTAGTTGCAAAAATAAGCATAGGGAAGATGGGTGGGAGTCAATTTTTAAACATTTGGTTGTTAAAACTTTTAAACCTGGGTTAGATTCTCAAAAAACTTTTAAACCTGGGATGCTTCGCCGTACATTTTAGTTTCTGTGCGTACCTTTTAATTTAAAAGAATGGAATATTGAATTACATATATTAAAAAAACTTCATATATTGAGAACGCATATTGCTTTATTCAAAATGATAATAGTACGTGTCTTTCTGTATTCACATTTTAGGCCAACTACTACCCATATTTCACCAGTGTTGGACTGCAACTAGCTTCGGGGTTCATGTCCTCTTTGATTCATCCTAAAGATGATTAAAGGAAAGTGAGAAATTCTCTAGGTCTGACGTGTATCAAATTGGACAGTCCATATCTTGAAGGGGATTTTGGTTCGGGGCATTTTTGAGCTCCAAATCAATTTGATTATGATTTTCTTTATTCATCTTAGAGTGGGAAAAATATGATTTGAGAGTTCCATCAAGCACTCCTAACTAGAAATTTGTCCAACATGTCCAAAATAAAAATTTGCAAAATACTTTTCCTTTAACATTTTACCATTTCAACGCTTGACGTTATTTCTAGTATATTCATGATTCTGTTTTTTTTTGTTAAGTTTTACATTGCCTGACGCAATTATAGTTAATAAGTGTTTTTTTTGGTCTTATGATAGATGGATGCTTTTTCTCCATTATTCTAGAATTACGCTATCTTTCTCCGTGAAATATTTGGTAGTCCTTTCAACAGATGATATTAGTTATATAAAAATTATTGGCCCTTTCTTTCTCCTTTCAAAAGATATTACAAAATTTATGAGATATGTCATTCAGTTGATTTTTTAACCTGTACTGCTTGGGTTATTTTAGGAAGTCCGGTACTTGGGTACTTGGCTGCTGGTATCTTAATTGGGCCATATGGTCTCTCTATCATACGCCATGTTCATGGGACAAAAGCTATTGCAGAATTTGGGGTTGTTTTTTTGCTGTTCAATATTGGGCTTGAGGTAAAATACGTCCTGTTCCTCTTCAACATTTCCATTCTGAAGGACTACATTTACAAATAGGCACTTTAAATTGATGGCTTCTTTTTTGTTATATTTGAAGAATGAGTACAAGAAATTATAATTTCTGCAGCTTTCTGTAGAAAGACTGAGCTCCATGAAGAAGTATGTCTTCGGTTTAGGCTCTGCCCAGGTAATTGTTGCACTTGTTTTTATTCTTCTAACACACTTTCTTCACAAATTTATCCAAAAATTTTATATAAATGTTGATATGCAGGTTTTCGTGACGGCAGTGGTGGTTGGTCTGGTTGCTCATTTTGTTGCAGGGCAACCTGGTCCTGCTGCAATTGTCATTGGCAATGGCCTGGCACTATCTTCTACTGCTGTAGTTCTACAGGTAACATCCTGTGTAATCTTGAACTTGGAAAACTAGTTTCACTATTTATACATTTGATTCTTTCACTCATAGGAAGCTCTTTTACTTTAGTTTTGATGTACCTTAGGGTTAATGCTTTCTTCATTTCTTTGTTTAGAAAGTAATGTTCATTGCATGCCTATAAGCCTGGGCAAGGGGTTGTGCTAGATTAATTTCCATGTTATTGTCCAAAGGGATGAAAAATCTGTACACTTTGTGATTTATGATGGAAGGCACTTTGTTCTTCATCTGAGGAAGTTGTGCACTTTCTGATACATACATGTCATGTGGTCTTCTGTTGTTTGACTTTCCAATTTGACTTGGATTGAAATAAGTTTAACCAGATATATTTTTAACAATTTAATTAGATATGATTTTTAATGATTGAAATAGAATTTATTGATTGCTATTGCTATGGAATTTTTTGCAGGTGCTACAGGAAAGAGGAGAGAGCACTTCACGTCACGGGCGTGCCACTTTTTCTGTGTTGCTTTTCCAGGTGATGGTTGTATTTATAAATCTCTTCCTATGGATTGCACGTTACATGTGAGAATTTTAATAATATGCAGCATTCTCTTGCTATTTTGGCTGCAATGCTCAAAGTCAATATGGTGTTTCTAATTATTAAATTTTGGAAGTTGGCTTCTCTCAAATAGGGATGAAAAATTCCATTTATAAGCTTTTGAGCGGCTCTCTTACGAAATTTAAGAATATATATTGATCTTCTTCCTAATGTTCTTCTTGCACATATTTCCATTATTTTCCCTTATAGTGTGTCACTCATCACAACGATTCATTCAAGACTTGTTGCAATATAAATAGTTTCAGCATCCTGATAGACTTTCCTGTTCTCTGTTTTAATTGTAGGACTTGGCTGTGGTGGTGTTGCTGATACTTATTCCTCTTATTTCTCCAAATTCTTCCAAAGGAGGGGTAATATCTCTTAAAGGTTTTTCTTGGCGGATACTATTTCTCCCTGATATTCTGAACGCACTGTTATTGGTTTAGGCTTTTATCTTTTTACGACATGCTATCTGGCAATATCTCTTGAAACTACAATTTCAAATTTGGACAGAATTCAGATGTAGTAATGAAAATTTTCACCGCTTGCATTATCTCAGGCTGAATGATCTGATCTGGTGCGTTGTGATAGGCAGGGTTGAGGAAAAAATTAACCAAATTCACAGTCATAAACTATGAAAATTACGAATATAAAACTAAACCATTATAATACATTTTCCTGGAGGGAGAAACTGTGTGGGAGAGGGGGTGTGATAGGATTCCCTGCCACCTCATTTTCCTCTGTGTAATAATTTCCATTCAGATTATAAGAAAGCCTGCCATGATCGTAGGAATAGTTTAATGTTTTAGATTCGGTCATACTTCATAATTTGTGAAGCTATGAATACACAGTGTATCATATTCTGTGTTTTTAAAGGATTTTTCTTATATTATATGGGATTTTTTACTCCTTCCAGATGTTATTTCCTTTTCTATTGATCTTGTATTTCTGTTATTCAGGTTGGTTTTCAGGCAATTGCAGAAGCTCTTGGACTTGCTGCTGTTAAAGCAATAGTCGCAATCACCGCCATCATTGCAGGAGGGCGCTTGGTAAAGTTCTTCCTTTGAATTGATACTTCTGTGGCCATCCCTATTGGAAGATTTGGCAAGCAATGTGTCTGTCCCTGAGGATCCTTTGTTGGTGTCTTGATTGTCTTATCTAATGATGCCATTTCTGCTGGAAGAGTTGGCAAGGAATTAGTGTGGAAGTGTGGAACCCGTTACACTTCATCATTTGCTCATAGATCATATTTTCACATCTTATCACAAAAATAGGAAATCTATGTATGTATTTTATTATGCACTTGCTGACATGAAGTGCATTCCTCTATGTGGATTAGAGTTTGCCTGGAATGGATGCATCAGTTTTATTTGAAAACTGTGCATATTAAAGTACCCTTCGGTTTTTAGTTCTTTTCTCAAGCACAGTTAATAACTGCATGCTATTATTTTTAGTGACAATCCTTGGAATCAACCTTGTCTAAATGTGGCAATATGGTTTGCTTTGGCATCTTCCAATACTCATTTTGGGCATGTATAACTGTAGAATTGAAAAAACTGCATTTCTCATTGCTGATGAACTTACAACGAACGGTTTGTCTTTGTCAATTTCAAGCCTAAGTCTGCATTGCACTTTTGTTTTAAATGCCTTGTTGACGAAAACGTTACCCTCAAAGAAAAAGGTTTAGGAATTTGTGCATTTTGTGGTCACTTTGATTATCATGTCTATGTAATGATGTTTTATCTTCCAAATTAACATTTCTATGGCTGGTATCTCTGTAGTTGATATCTGATTTGTGATGATGTTTTGGTTAAAATAACAGTTACTTCGTCCAATTTATAAGCAAATTGCGGAGAACCAAAATGCTGAGATATTCTCTGCGAACACCCTTCTCGTCATTCTGGGGACTAGTGTCCTTACTGCTAGGGTATGTGGATCCTTGTGCGATGAATTTGATTCTTCTTCCTTTAAACATTGACTTTATAGGTATTAAAATTATATTCTGAACAGGCTGGGCTTTCAATGGCTTTGGGGGCATTTTTGGCTGGATTGCTCCTTGCAGAAACTGAATTTTCACTCCAGGTTGAATCTGATATTGCTCCATATCGTGGTCTTCTGTTGGGCCTCTTCTTTATGACGGTATATGATCTGCATTGGCTTTTGCTTGAACCTTCCTATTTTCGCTGATTTGTAGTTGAGTAATAACAAGTGATTAATCTTCAGCTGGCTCACATGTATCGTGCTTGTCTAATGACGCATGGGCATCGTTACTTAGTCTAACGTTATGCTTCAGAACTTATTATGCCGATATCTCCATTAGTTTTTAGCTGTAGCTAGAAGGTCCTTGATCACAGGTTCAAGCCATGTGGTTGGCCTGGACGTTTGTTGGCTTCCTAAGCATACTCTGGCCTATGTAAGAGTTTTTCATTTACTTCATTAGAAAACTTCCCAATTCGCCTTTTTCTCTCATGGAGCAAATTTTAGGTTGCATGTTGGAACTATTCTAGGGATGTATCGTTACTATGCTTATGTGACAAGTGATGGCTTTATGAATTTATAAATTGGAGTAGCCCGTGAGGAAGTTAACTGTTGTATGATATTTTATTACCAGTAGAATATTTATGATATGTTTTAATTGATCATGCTATAATAATCATCTGACTGTTTATGATCTGACTCTAGTATCCCTGGCGATCTTTCAGGTTGGAATGTCTATTGATCCAAAACTTCTTATTTCCAACTTTCCTGTTATTTCGGGAGCCTTGTGCCTTTTAATTGGTGGGAAAACTTTATTAGTTTCACTAGTGGGTAGAACTTTTGGGATTTCTAGCATTGCTGCAGTTCGAGTTGGCCTTCTTCTTGCACCTGGTGGAGAATTTGCCTTTGTTGCATTTGGAGAGGCTGTTAATCAGGTTGGTTTTCATTTCTGTTATCAATGAAATTTAGTTTTTAAACATTTCTGTTTCTTCATTTCACAAATGTCCAAGCTTACCTTTGAAGGGAATTAGAGTGGGTGTCTTGGATGATGGATTTACTTTTGGTTGCTTATGTATGTGTAGTTTTAAGTAACTGTCTTTTCATGTTGTCTAGCCTCTTTTCTTGTTTGCAAGGAGCAATGTTTAGATTGAACTTTTTCCCTCAGCTCTAACTACACAAGAGAAAGCTTCCCAGGCACCCTCTCTTGCAGCTCGCATCAAATGCTCTGGTAAAGCATGATGTATCGCAACCTGTACATAAGGCAGTCTCACTATAGGAATTGATTTTCTGTTGTCATTCGGTTAATGCCTTGCATTGTAACTGATCCACGTGATCCTTGAAGCTTTTGTGGATGCTGCGGAATGTTAATGAGTTGCTGTTATTGGTGGTGATTCATAGATTCAGGAGTTTGAATTTTGTTTGCATTTAAGGTGCTTTATATTTGTATTTATCATTTTGTCTTGCTGAAATTGAGTTTACTAGGGCAGCTGGACATAATATGACTAGTGTGCACTCAAGATTGTGCTGACCAACCATCACTCAACATTCAATGCTTCTTGCTGGTGGTGCTAGCATCATATGAGTTTCATGACCTTGTTTGCATCACAATCGTCACTTCAAGGCCCTTGAACTAACTCCGTGCTGGTCAATTCAAGGCGATTGGCTCAAAATAGTATCAATGATAACAGTGTGAATGACATACATGTTATATCCTAGCATTAGAAAATATATACTGGAAAAGCAGATTTTGCCGTGCTTTGAAGTTTCAACCTCAAGCAAAATATATAAGTTGCAAGTCCTTTTTACTTTACTTGTTTATTAGATGATGTTTTGTTTGATTTATTTCGTGATGCATCATTTCCAAAATGCTCCACTTTTGCTCTGTTAAGTTTGATAATCTGCCATCATGAAAATGCAGAAGATAGTTATTATTTATGAGTTGCATGTATTTTCACTAGTGCATACCAATGAGGCTGAAGGGCGAGTTCTATCGGACATCAGGGCGAGTTCTATCGGACATCGGTGAGACCAGCTTTGCTCTATGGGGTGAAATGTTGGGCAGACAAAAAACAATGTGCCCATAGAATGAGTGTAGCGGAGATGAGGATGTTGAGATGAATGAGTGGCAAGACAAAAAGGGATAGAATTCGAAATGATCTATTTGAGAGAATTTAGGCGTGACCAATAGGCGATAAAATGAGAGTGTAGACTTAGGTGGGCTGGCCAAGTGTGGCGCTGACCAAGTACATCAACTGTTAGGAGGTGCGAGTTAGTTTAAGTGGAAAGACTGAAAAGGGCAAGAGGTAGGCCCAAAAGAATGTGGTTGGAAGTAGTCCGAAAAGGGCAAGAGGTAGGCCCAAAAGAGCGTGGTTGGAAGTAGTCCGAAAAGATATGGGGATTTGTGGCCTCATTGAGGATATGGCATTTAATAGAGCAGAATGGAGAACCAAGATTCATGTAGCCGATCCCAATTAATTGGGAAAAGGCTAAAATGATGATGCATTTTCACTAGTGGCTCTGTGATACCTTGTTTTTTTATTTATTTATGATGTAGTCATGAAGATCATTTGCTTATACATGTAATGCTACTTAATTTACTATTTTTGCTTCTTATAGCATTTGGTTCACTTTCAGCATCACAATTAAGTTTCAACTTTGGTTTTCTAATTTGATGATATGTCCACCTTTGGCAGGGTATCATGTCTCTGCAGCTTTCATCTTTGCTGTTCTTGGTTGTGGGGATTTCGATGGCCCTCACGCCATGGTTGGCGGCAGGAGGACAATTAATTGCATCCCGATTTGAGCAGCATGATGTGCGAAGCTTACTCCCTGTTGAGAGTGAGGTGATTCTTCTTACTCTATACACTAGAATTTTCCTAGAAATTTAAGTTTTTCAATGGCTAGGTATAATTTCTGCAGAAAACCAGGTTACAATCTTTTTCATATTTAGAGGTCATCTGTTGATTAGGTCATTGTGTTTGGCATATTGATGCAATTTTGTTTAGTAGCAACTATGGTTACTTATCTGGAGCTTTTCTTCACAACATAATAGGATTCAGGTGATTGGATGATTGGGAAAATGCAGTAAATAACTCAAATGCACGTTGTTAACTGAAATAAGGGTTGTATGAATGGGGTATTTGATTTGTGCCAAGTTATATGGTTTTGATGTCAGCATTTGGCAGAGTGCTGCACAGAGTCTTGGTTCATAGTTCTGAGAGAAGTGGAGAAGATTTAAATCTCCTAGTGTCTTTAAATGCAAGGTCTTATGTTGCAATAATCATGTCCAGTATGAGCACGTACTTGTGCTTTGTTGAGTTTTTAACTTTTATAAAATGGACAAGGAGTGATGGCCAAACCCTCCTCACTGGTCATCATATACGTATATTCTAGACATTTTAAGGGCTTAGTTTAGTCATCTAACTGATGTCTTGGTATATCTATCTCGTTATTTTTTAATGGAAGTATTGCCAATATCACGGCTTCTTAGATAGCTTTTTCTTTCTTTGGGCTAGTTGGCTAGGTTTGATTGCAAAAGGGGAAGACTACCTCCTGTGAATAGTGCTTAATATTTTCCTCTTGTTGTATGTGTTATAGATATCTTTGAGGACCTTTCTAGTGTTTCAAGAAGAGCCCCGCCTAGGCGGGCCAGGGGTTTGGGCGTATTGCCCAGGCCTAGGCGGGGATCTTGGGCGGGGAGTCCATGGTTGGCCGCCTAGGCGCCTGGGACCCTGCCTAGGCGGGTGCCCTTCATTGAGGAGCATTTTTGGATTTTTTTATCCCTAAATAAGGGGAATAAAGGGGTTTAGGTTATTTTGTGACCTAAACCCCTTTGTTTACCTTTAGAGTGGAAAACAATTTGAAAACAATTACTTTTTAGCATTTCTTAGTGATCAATAGGGTATTTTAGAGTTTTGAAAAATCGATCCAAACATCGTCTTGTTGGTATGGATTTGATTTTGATGATTTTTTAAGCTTATTAAAGGGTTTTTGGGAAGTATTTGAGATTGAGAAACATCTCAAAAATTGAAGATTGAGCAAAAAGGTTAGTTAAAAATATTGAAGATTGCGCAAAAAGATTTGTTAAAAATGTTCATATTTGAGATTTTATGTGTTATTTCACTGTCTCTTTCGGATTCTTCTAAAGTGGTGATCTGGGCTGGAAATATGGTTATAACTCCCCTTGTAAAAATGTTCCTGAAGCTATCAGAGAGGAGATTAAGCAATATATGAGTTAGGTAAACAAAAAGGAACAAAAGCCTTGTCATTTGGATAAGTCTCTTTATTTTTAGCTCTTCTAGAAGTGGTGATTCAGGTTGGAAGTATGGTTATAACCCGAATCCGAACAATAAAAATCATATAAGGTGTAATTTTTGTGATAAAGATACCAATGGGGGTATTAACCGATTCAAGTAACACCTTGCAGGTATTAACGGGAATGTTGTTTTTTGTAAAAAGGTTCCTAAAGCTATTACGGATGAGATTAGACAATATTTGAATTTAGTAAAACAGGAAAGGAAGAAAAGGAGCCTTGTTATATGGAAATATCTTCTTCAGGTTCTTCTAGAAGTGGTGATCCGGGTTGGAAGTATGGTCATAACCCGAATCCGGACGACTAAAATTGTATAAGGTATAATTATTGTGTAAAGGATACTAATGGGGGTATTTACTGGTTCATGAAACACCTTGCCAATACTAAGGGGGATGTTGCTCTATGTAAAAATATTTATGAGGCTACCAGGGAGGAGATTAGGCAATATTTGAGTTCAGTAAAACACAAAAAATAAGAAAAAGAGTGAAGAGACACCAGGTAGACCAACGAAGACTCTTAGGGCTTCATCTGCACAGAGTAAGTCAGGTAGAAGAAGAGGAGGAAGCGGCAGATTCGTAAGAAAAGGAGGAGGGCGAGCGTTATGGTGAAGAGGGAGATGACTTTGGTGATGATGGACTTGACTCTGATGCATATGATGAGGCTTGCCTCACTTATTCTGATGATGACTGAAGATACTTGACTCTTGGAACTACAGATTATGGAATGATATGAACTACGGAGCATGGTTTATGGTCTCTGAAGTATGCATTATGGATTGTGCCCGTATTACTAATTTACTAATTACTATAATATTTATTTTTGGTTGTGCTGATCGTCAATCTATTACAAATTTACGATGGTTTAGAACTTTGAATTACGGGATTTTTAATATTTTATGATGTATACTCATATTCCGCTGATCCCTGCCCCCTACCCCCTACTCCCTACTCTGCCCTCTTCTTCAATCGAGGTCCTAGGCTGCCCAAAAATCTGGGTGCTTGCCTAGGCGTTGGACGGCCAGAACCCCATGACCGCCTAGGCGCTGCCCGGCTTTTTTTGGAACATTGACCTTTTCCATGGTGGATCTTGTTTTATAATGGACTTTATTATGTTGAGCAAAAAAATTCTGGGCCTTGCTGGTTTATTGAAACTGGAACTGTAAATTTGGCTAGCATCTCATGGGTTTCTAGTTCATTATTCTTTAGGGCTTCAGGCATTATAGGATGTGATATAGTCATATGGGTGTAGCATCTAGACCATAGAAGTTGATGTATATCTTTGAACTTGTGATTGTGACTACAGACGGATGATTTGCAAGATCATATAATCATATGTGGATTCGGGCGTGTGGGTCAGGTACTTTTTTTTTTCCTTTGTAGTTCTTTATAGTTTTGGAGGCAAACCCATTCTATTTGGATATAAAAACAGTGTTTCTTTCGTCTAGATCATTGCACAACTTCTTTCAGAGAGGCTGATTCCTTTTGTTGCACTTGATGTCCGAAGGTAAGATTTCCTTCCTTCAAACTAGAGATTGATTTACGTTCCTTTCCAAGTTGAGTTATTCAGTTGAAGATATCTATGCTTGAAGTGTTCCAGAGAATTTTGAAGCATTTAATCAAAAGAAAGGAAAATTCATCACCAGCTGTTTGTGTGAAAATTCTAACAAGATCTCGTATGACTTTTGTTCTCTGAACGGGTAGTTTCAAATCATCAAAGCTGTAAGCTTCTTCTTGAGTGATAGTTTCTTGCATCAAGGATGTATATACCTGCAGAAGAAATAATAATGCATGAATGGTTCAACTGGAAGGCACTCAGTCTGACCTTGTGTTTGAGGGTTTGATCTTTTTTAAGCTAGCCCAGAGAAAAAGTACACTGCTGACAAATGCCTGCTGTAAGGGTACGTCCACAATCGTGTCGACAAAATGGCATCTACCCCAACTCTGAGGAAAGTGGATCACTCAGCTCATGTATATGGGCAGAGTAGCTGATCAAAAAAAAGAAAACGAAGGGCAGAGTCCCAGTGACTTACAAGGGCATAGGGACTGAGGAATTGGAAATGTAATAAATAACAAGGATTAAAATAATCAAATAGAGCAAGGAAACCTAGAGAACTTTCAAAGATTGGGTGGACTGCCCACTGGGCCTTCTTAAAAATAAAAGGCGAACAATTGTAAGAAGCTTCAAATAACTAGAGGCATACCTTAAGTTTTCTCAATCAATTATAGTGGCATATGGTGGTGATTTTTTTTAGTTCATGTTATCAGCAGCCATATTCTTGCATGTCTCATTCATGTTTTGACAGTACATATTTCTATGTGTGTTGATAATTCATTTTGCATGGTTTAACATGGGAAAAACCTGCTTGCATAGAGTGGGATTTAGCTATTTATATTTGACTGCGACATGTGCCTAATAACTTTATGCTGCAGTGAACGTGTGGCTAATGGCCGTGCACTTGATCTTCCTGTATATTTTGGTGATGCCGGTAGTCGAGAAGTAAGCATGCCAAAACACAATTGTAGCCTGCTTTTTTTCTTATTTTCTTCTTTTTGATGATCCTTTTGTTCTTATGTTGTGATCAGGTCCTCCATAAAATTGGGGCTGAGAGGGCTTGTGCTGCTGCGATTTGTTTAGACACCCCAGGTGCCAATTATAGGACGGTCTGGGCTTTGAGCAAGTATTTTCCCAACGTGAAGACATTTGTTCGTGCCCATGATGTTGATCATGGCCTAAATCTGGAGAAGGCGGGTGCAACTGCGGTAATTTTCTGTTTGATGATACCCCAAAAGGAAAAAATCCTAAATCTTCTGTCCTTATGGTACATGTTTCTCAAGCTTAAAAAATTTGAGATGTAATTTCACTCTTGATTTTTATTCTTAAGAACTTCATTGGGATCCCACTGAAGACTTAGTTCCCAAATAGGCCATTTGGAATGTTTCTATGATAGCCTTGCATATCACTTACGTATGAAGCTTTTTTAATGGTGAAATTCTAATTGGTTTGAAATTTTAAAATTTAAGGTTGTCCCTGAAACCTTGGAGCCCGGTTTACAGCTTGCTGCTGCAGTTCTTGCGCAGGTAACTATGCAGTTGGTATAATCAAACTTCTATTCTGTGCTGAATTTACAGCTTGCCTTCTCTATGCATGTATTGTATCAGACATTGTATGCCATCTGGAAAATTACTAAACACCCGTTCTTCTCTCTCTCTCTTTTCCCATCAGATTTCCCTTCAATTATATCTTTTCTCATGCTAATTTTGTTCTTCCTTTTCTGATTGAGTTTCTCCTATCCTTGATCTTTACATGTACTTTCCTTTTTTTGCATTATTATTGGTTTTTTTCTCCATGTATATTCTTTAGTGCAGGGCATTTTCCTGCAAGTAGCATGTGTATGTTTTCTTTCTTATATGTTTGTATAAGTGTACAAGGGCGGTTTTTGGCGCTACCATTTGATCCATCTGCAGGGCCATGATTACAGCCCTTACGATTAATGTGGAGGCTGACAGTAGATCTGAATAACTCATCCAAGAGTCCTAGTTTTTTATATGTTAAGATTTTTTGATAATTGATTATTTGCTAATATGTATAAATATTATTCAAGGTTCTCATTGTGCAATGGCTTTAGTTTTACTGGCTACAAAAATTTGTGGGCCTCAGTATTGTTTCGAAGATATATTTCTTACCCGTCAAATTGTAAGGTTTTCATTAAATATGGATTGGTGGTAGTTATAATATAATTGCAAATGGTAACTTCTAAGGGAATGGAGTAGTGCATTCCTCATGAGCCTGTGCTTTGTTGTTTCCTTTTCTTATCGTGTGTTGCTGGTTTGCAAGTGTATAGTTTATTACCCCATATATTGTGATGTCCTTCATCCAGTAATGCAGGCATTTTAGTTCATGCATCAATGTGGTTTTTTATCATTTTATACCAACAAATTCTTCTTTCATGTTTTCAAATCTCACCAAGCACGCTATTTTACTTTACAGGCTAAATTGCCAACATCAGAGATTGCAACAACTATTAATGAATTCAGATCCCGCCATCTCTCTGAACTCACTGAGGTAGCATTTTTAACCTTTGTAAAAGTTTCATGCTTTAATTTTTATTTTTTTTGGAAAGATTTAATTAGTTATTTTTGTTACTTGAAAATTAGGAATTTCATGGCCTTGATGGACCACTCTCATTATAAGTGACAGCTAGATGGAAATGCTTTTGTAGGAGTTGATATGTTATTACACAATAAAGGGAAATGCCTTTGACTAAATGATCTGACTGAGGGTATGGCCTTTGATAAAGAGGGATGGCAGAACAGATTTGTACTGCCGATCCCAAATGGTTAGGATAAAATTCGGATGATAATGATACAAATGTAGCAAAATATTACTGTTATGGGACAACAATACATTGTGCATTCTACTGCTTAACATTTTTTAACACTCCTAATAAAGCCGGAGCATAGATGTTTGAGCGCTGAGCTTTTGCAATGTGCCATGGGATAGATTTTTTTCGGAGTGCTTCTGTAAGCACATACAAGTTGGTCTTTTGACTAAACATATCAAGTGCATCTTTTGATAACTATATTTTCCCTTTCATAGTGGCAGTCTACCTCAATATCTTTGGTCCTTTTATGGAACTATAGGATAGGTTATGTGGATAACAGGCTGGTTATCCAATGATGTTTATAAGCAGATGGACCATAGGTCTTGTATTAGTCGTAAAATCTCTATACTTTTCGCCAGTGTTTAAAAAGTTGGAATGAAGCTCTGACTTGCGAGGGTCCCAATCCCAAGTCCATCACCAAATCTGCTGTGCCGGGGGCCTAATTTTAGGTGGGAATTGATTGTTTTCTCCCAAAACTGACATAGGGGTCCTTGGGGTTGGGAGATTCGTCAATTTTTTAGCTTCTCCCTCCACAGCCCAATCAGGTCCAACTCAAGCGATTCCCGAGGTGGACCACTGAGTGTTTAATCTCTACTTTCCGTATCTTATATTAGTCACAATGTTCTTTAAAGTTAGCACGTAGTATGAGCCCTTACCGTATACTCAACCTCTGCACTGTATCTATCCACCACAGACTAATATTTAAGTCTTCTTACCATATTGCCTCCAAAAAATGTGCAATCATCCATAGTTGATTATACCAGTAACTAATACACACCTGGCTTAGATGTATTATTTCGTAGTCAGATAACGTGATGGCTTTGCTCTATGAATGAGTCTAATGGTTAAGTCCCTCGGGTGTTCTTCCTCGGAGAGATGAATATGCTTTTTCTAAGAGAAATCCACTTTGATCTCAAATACCTTGTTTAGAGTTAGACCATGAATATATCTTCTGTGGTCTATCTTGCTTCAGATGATTCTTCAGTTACTTTTAATGTTAGGGTGCATATTAGGTACTCTAGCCTGACCATATAATTAGAGTTGTCTAGGCTCCCAAAAACATAATTAGGGTTATCTTTTGAATCTGAAAACTTTCATATCATCTTTAGTCAGCCCCAAGATCAATTGTGTAAATAAATAAAAATGATTTGGAACTCAAAACTTACTCCAAATCAATAAGCCCTCAAAGATTGGCCCCACACTTTCTATTTGAGAAGTTAAGGATCTTAGGGTTGCAAAGACCTAAAAAACATGCTTTTCTTTTCATGGGAATTGTTTGCAGGGTATCAAAGATGATCAGGCAATTTTCGCATCCAAATAATGCCCCCAACACCTAATTATATGAATAGGCTAGGCCATGTATTATTTTCCCATTATGTGTTCGTTGGTTTATGTTTATGCATTTATTTGCAGCTATGTGAGGCGAGTGGAAGTTCGCTTGGCTACGGATTTTCTAGGATCATGTCTAAAGCAAAATCACAATCTTCTGATTCTGAGGATGGGCAAGTCATCGAAGGAACCCTGGCAATATGACATTGTACAAGAACTTTGTTCATGATTGAACCCTTTTTGGGGTTTGTACAGTCATTTCTCTTAATGAAATGAGAAAAAAGTGTATAGTTGCGTACAAATTTGTAAGTGCATCTTGTTTCTTTTTTTAAACTCCCAATTTTGATATATTTTCTCTTAAAATTATAACACAAGTCCAGTTTTTGAGTTTTGATTCATGCAAAGATCAATTACATAAAGCAAACCTGGGAAGATGTATTCATAAGGCATGTATAAGCGCAAATTGGTTCAGTAAATGGACTGGATTTCATTTTTAATAATTCGTTCTCAGTAAATGGGCTGGATTTCATTTTTAATAATCAGGATTGTGTTTCCCCTCCATTTTGTATTATGATTTTTCTTTTCTTTTTACACGAAAAGATTATATGCCCCAGGAATATACTATATCAGATCTAAGTGCGTTGGAAATTATTTTCTTTAAAACATTCGCTTGGTTTTTAGAATGAAAAAATTCTCCAAATTAGCTCTTTTGCCTGTGGGAGTAAGTATATGTCCTCTTGGGAGCACACCACAGGCCTTGCTGTCTTTTAAAATAAGGGTGGGGCCCAAAACAATCAAATGAAGGAGCATCTCAAGAATTCAATAGACGATATCGTTTCAATGCCCAAAAATCTTCAAATCAATCATCTCAACCTCAAGATGCATGTGCATGAAAAAAAATGAATTTCAAGCATTGGAAATAATACATATGTAATGCATTTTTTGGACTGTCAATGTTCAAGGTTGTCAAAAGTGTTCATAGAATTGTAGATCTATATTATTTTGAAGCTTTAACTTTTATGATTAGAGATAAAAAATAAAATTTCAAACCATCACAAAGATTTTGAAAATAGCACACTATTTCAAATTGCGATTTACTTCGATTTTATAGGGCCCCTTTTATACAAACCACATCCATATATATAAGGTTAGGTTTATATAAAGCAAGGGCCTTAAACAACCAAAATAAGACGCACCTTTAATTAATACCAAAATATGTTGTTTTAATATAAGAAATCTTTATGATGACCAGAAAATTTATTTTTATCTCTACTTATAAAATTTTAGGATTAAAAAATATCTATGAACACTTGATAATCTTGAAATTTAGCGGTCTAGATAATACATTAGAAGATGCACCCTCTCCAAAACTTGAAATCGTTATTGTCTAATCAATAATTAGATGGCTCTTAAGAATCTTTAGCCAGAGACGATCACCATCCAACCAATCCATTGGATGGGGATGAAGGCCGCCTTTGTTGTTTTCTATGGGCCTCATAATCACCATCCAAATATTGATTGGATGGTCATGATCCTCATGTGTTTGTCTCATTAGAGATTAGCATAAAGAACAATATTATAATCCTCATTACCACATGATATGTGTGTTATAACTTACAAGTGCTCAACACCGTCGATGAGTTAGAGAGAGAGAGTTTTAATTCGGGATTGTATTCTTTAAGACTTTACTATTGTTTCATAAATTTCACAATCAATCACTCTTAGTTATTAGATGTCAAATTAGATATATTGGAGTGTATCATAAAATTCAAAAAAATTTATTATAAATTTTGAATCTAATCAATTACATACTTACAAGCATCTAATTTAAAACCCGGAAGACGAGAGTATTTATGACCTCCGTACTAAAAGTAAAAGATGAAGTTCCTTTAAGGCTTAGGCTTTATAAAAACAAAATAAAAAATCACCTCAAATCCTGAACCTGATTTTGTTATTTTTACAATTATAATGTTGAAGCGCCGAGATGATCTATTTAAAAGTTTTTCACCACTTGAATTGTAATTTACAATGAGTTATGAGGTGAGGTTTTACTTATGGGATTGTTTTGTATACATGAGAGATACAAGGTTGTCACAATTGCTTACAACCATCTAATGTGAAATTTGATAGCTTGGATATGTCACAAAGTTTGAAATTTTATTTTTTAAAGTTTGAGCTTGGTCAATAAAATAATTGCAGCTACCCAATTTTACATCCATTGGTCAAGATTAATGTGTTTATGTTGTACCAAAAGTAAATAGTTTCATTCCGTACTTTTTTTAAACTTATTTTAATGGGTGCCACCCTATCAAACTATTTTTCAAAAAATAAATAGCATCTTTTTATACTTTTTTATTATTTATTATTCATGACCTTTACTAGACTGTGAATTTATTCATTATCCATGATCTTTACCAAATGGTGAATCTCTCTCTCTGTCGCTCTCGCTCTCGCTGTCTATTGGACATCCATGACCCTTATGACCATATATTCGCTATGGTCCTGTGATCATAAGGTAATTATCGTATACTCTGGTTGTTCTTCTTATATAAAACCAGGGCTTATCCATCGATCAAAAATGACCAAGGGGAAAAGCCTGAAATATCCCACCAGAAATCTGTGAAAAACCAATTTTGAGGTTTATCTGGCGGTTTCGAAATTCATGAAACCACCGTTGATGCTTCTCTTATAAGCACTGGTCTCATTTGTGGTTTTCCAATACCACTTTCGCCATGGATGGGCTCACAAACTGTTACGTGGGTCGTTTTTTCATTCCTTTGAAGCAACCTCGAATTGGTTTTCGAAGCCCTAAATTTGTGGCAATGGCCTCTGATGGTGGGTCGAAATTTGATCATTGGGATCGAATGGAGATGAAATTTGGAAGGATGATGGGAGAAGACCCTAAACTAACCTTAGCTAAGGTGCGCTAAATGATGGTTTTTTTACTGATTTTTTAAGAGATTTCTTGCCATTAAGAATGTTAAAGTAAGCAATGGAAGCTCAAATTATTGAATTTCATTGGTTTTTAAGTAGCTCTATTGATAGATTTTTGTAAAACTTTAAGAAATATTTTGCAGGATTGTCTACAAAGAGACCATTTATCTTTTGCCCATGGACGTCATCGAGCATTCTTGTCCCTTAAACTTCAAAATGGCTAGTTGTAAGAGTGTTATTGAATAGACACAAAATTCGAAAGAAAAAAATTTCTCGGACTTTGTGACTCACCTCAAGCTATCGAATTTAACATTTAAGGAGTGAAAATAACTGTAACCTCCATGTGCAAAAGATAATGGTCTCTTTGTAGACAATCTCATATTTTGCTGTCTAAAATAATAAAATTAATAGAGGAGACATCATTTATGGAATTTGAAGAAAAATTAATCTGTTTCTTGCCTATCATGTAAGTTACTTTTGTCTTGATGAAAAGTATGCAAGCATTAAGTTGGATGGTTTGCAGCTATGGTTTGCAAATATGTTTTCAATGTCGGTTTTTTGTCAGGAGTGGAAAATTCCGACCTTTTATCAGTTTCCATAGTTTGTCTCCCAAAGTTAGCCATTGAATAAAGAGAATGAATCGATGAAATTTGATGACTTGGTAAAGTGTGGACTGGATTTCGGTCAAAATGTACTGAAACAGGCTTAATTGAAATGTCCAAAATTTCGAAAGTTATTCTCTATTCTTCTTTCAAAATGAAAAATAAAAAATAAAAATAGAAATAAAAAATCATTTTGTGAAAAATAATTAATTTTCAAGTTATATCGGGCAAATTTTGTCTTGAATTTGGGCTGCATAAAATGTGTGGACATTCAATTGAATTTACAGTCAAATTTGCACGGATAATAGTGTTTTACAACCTGAATTTAGCTCTAAAATTATGGCTGTAGTAGCCCACTTGAGTATCATTTTTCATAGGAAGATGTAGTAATTTTTAGATTAGTTTATCATTTTAGTTGATTTCCAGCTGAAAAACAGCAAAACAAGGAGGAAATCTGGGTCAAATTTAGTTGAAACAGTACACTCGATAAGTGATTTTGGTTATTAGTAGACTAAATTTTAACACTGAGTGATGTTTCCATAATAATTTTGACTTTATCTGAGCTGCTATGGTTTGTGGAAATTTAGTGTGGGATGAGAAATCCGCTTACCTTATATATAAATCATTGGAAAAATTAATATGTGGCGTGGAATTTCATTAGAACGTGCCCTACTAGCACAATTTTTGGTTGTCCAGCTGTAGAACCCCTTTTCCTTTTTCAATTGTGTTTTGGGTAAACTGGCCGTTAAACCTTGGTTGTTAGTTATGTTCATTGTGCCCTTGCACTTATGTAATGTTTGTATTTGGCTATGGTTTCATTATGTGGTGTCTCATGATAAACACATGAGAATCAACTTTATATTTTGAATTATTGACCTTACAAATTCATGTCATCATCATCATCATAGTTTTTTCCCAATTAATTGATGTCGACTACACGAATCCTTGTCCGCCATTCTGCTCTATTAAGGGTCGTACCCTCAGTGAGGCCATATATCCCTATATATTTTCTCACTACTTCCAACCATATCCTTTTGGACTACCCCTTGCCTTTTTAGAGCCTTCCACTTGAACTAACTCACACCTCCTAACAAATGTTGTACTGGGTTTGCACCACACATGGCCAACCCACGTACGTCTACTCTCGCTGATCTTATTGCCTACTGGTGCCGCACCTAAATTTTTGCAAATGGACTCATTACGAATTCTATCCTTTCTTATCTTGCCACTCATCCATCTCAGCATCTTCATCTCCACCATATTCATTCTATGAATATATTGTTTTCTGACCGCCCAACATTCCGCTCCATAGAGCAAAGCTAATCTCAAAAGCTTTCCTATAAAACTTGCCATTCAGCTTCATTGGTATATACAGCAATCACATAAAATTCTATTTGCACATCTCCACTTCGCCCACCCCAGCTATAATTCTATATGCAACATCTTCCTCAATCTCTCTATTTTTCTAGATTATCGATCCAAGATGTCGAAAATGCAATCTTTTTGGTAATTCCTAGCTGTTAATCTTAACTACTTCCTCGTCTCTACTCCTATTATTACTAAACTTGCATTCTATATACTTTGTCTTAGTCCTGCTAATTTTAAAACCTTTAGATTCTAGAGCACCCCTCCAAAATTCTGACATATGAAAAGGAAAAGAACTTAGTGGTATCCACATATTTCCTCCTTACACCAAATAGATATGCGATGGTTTTCATATGCAAATTTGATGCATGCAATCTTGACTCTTAGTTTCTCTCGCAGATAATGGGGAGGAAAGAAAATCCGGATGCCTCTTATCTTGAAATTGAAGAAGCCTACTACCGTTCGAAAAAGAAAATGGACAAAAAAAACAAAGGTAACTTAGATATGGATGCAGCTGATTTTGCTCAGTTTGAGGTTAGGGAAGCAGAGTCATCTAATATGCCAGCTAATTCGTCTCTCTCAAGCAAAAGCATGAATGTTGATAAAAAATTGAATCTGATGAGGCCAGTCATGAAGAAAGGAAGTAAATCTGTGGTGCCATTAGTAAAGCCTGTTGCGGTTGAGAGACCAAGACTCCAGTCTAGTGAAAAGATTGATACCAAGTCTAGTGAAAAGATTGACACCAAGGGTGATACCTCAAATGTTATTTTGCGAAAGCCTTCCATTCCACGAGCTGATGACATAGAAATGAAGGAATACTCTAGAGTACATGCTAGGCCAAACTTATCGCTTAATAGGAGCAAGGAGGCTAGCCAGGATTTCAGTAACATTATATTGTTGAAGAAGCCTGAACCCTTGAATTCCTCTGATGCCTCAGAGGAGAAAGGAATTCATGAAAATTCTTCTGGTGCAGTAGTATTTGATCGAGGTGTTGTTTCAGATGATGCCAATTTGAAGGATATTAAGCTCTTGGAGCCAATTGGTAAGGAAACTATTGGAATTGATCCCAATATGAAATCAAATGCCCTGAATAATAATCTCCAGAATAATTTGGAAGGTTCTTTAGGGGAGGAAAGAGTGAGTGAGCTTAATAACAGTATTGGAGGACCCATAAAGAGTGTTGGTAACAACTCTACAGAAATGGCAGATCAAGAAAATGGGCATGGAGAAGGTAACTCATTAATTTTGAATTGTAGCTTGACTGGTATAACTGTGTGAAATAATATTTCAATTTTTTTTTTTCAAGGAATGCACCCAAGTGCATTGACTATAGATGAGCAATCTAGCAAAGAATTAACCAATGTTGAAGGTTTGAATGCGAGCACAGAGCATCCGTTGAATCTCATGAAAGCTACCCTACAAGGGAAGCCCTCGAGGTAATAGCAACAAGCTGTCTCCCTTTCATTAGTTTGTGGTTGGTGTCTTGGTGATAATTGGCTTGTGTGCATGATCTGATGCACAAATGCTCACAAGACCCTTGATGTCAACTGTGTTTATGGACATTTGAGTACCCATAAAGATGATGGCCTAGCAATTTCTTCTAAACTATTTGTGATGAATTGGTTGGTCTAAATACGAGTTCTCGAGTTTCCTGCTTGTATTCTATTAGGGGCTATTTATTTTTTTGATGTTTATATGTACATGAGAAACTGCAAGTGATGTATATAGCAAATTTTACAATATTCTAGTATATTATGGAAAATCATAGCCCATAGGGACCATCATCAGTGAAATGTAGTGATGGCTGGTGATTAAGAGATAATGGGGCCCACCATTTAGTATCAGGTCCTTTTCTGGCACGTGGCCCTCTCTTTCCATCATTATTCATCATTTAATTTGGATATTGATGACCTGAATGGAATATGGTCTTCCATAGTGTGTTGGACTACAATTTTTCTTTGCATAAATTCTAGAGATTCCTCTTGCTCACAGGAGATACCTAACCTTGCCATGACTTGGTTTGCATTAAAAAACTGTGTTCTTTTGATTTCATCTCTTAGTTTTGATGCTTATATAATTGTTTATGACAGGGTTAAATCAGTTGATTCATCTATAAAGGAACAATCCCGTGCTCCCAGTGACATAGAGACAAAGGATTTAGATGGTGAGAGGTATAATGATGCTACAGAACATAAGCATTTTATATCATCAGAATCAGAGGTACGGATCCTTTATTTCACCTGGTCTACTATTGTTGGCAAAGCATGGACAACACTTTTATAATGTTGGAAACGATGATTCTTATACTTCTATGACATCAATTTTAAATATGAAATGTATACTGTAATGCTGTGCACTATGGAAAACCATAGTCCACTGGGATCATCATCATTCCATGAAATGGACAAAAATGAAGAGAGTGTAGGTCCAATCATTGAGGTCGTTTATTCTTCTGGTAGGTTCCACTCTTCATCGTCATTTCTTCTTCTGGTGGGTCCCACTCTTCATCATCATTCCTACAATTTTGTTGAGGGTGACTCCATTGGACTCTGTATTTTCATAGTGCATTGGATTATAATCTCCCTCCCTATTAAATAAAATGTGTGGCTCCATCAGATATAGTAAATCATCTTTACATATGATTGGTGTTCATAAAATTGATTCGGCCAAGGTACTCGGGCCTTGGCCGAGGCGAGGCGAGTAACTCGCCCAAATCCTGCTCTTTTTTTTTTATAGAAGATAAAGAAAAATATTGTTATATATGATATAAGTGCCACTTTTATCAATCACCTAGCGAGTGACGTGTTGGTTAGGCCCCCCCACATCAACGTACCTCTTTACAAGAGGTCTTGAGTTCTATTCTTATGGGGGCTACTTTTTTTTTGGAACTCCCATTATATGAAAAAAAATGACAGTATTTGTTCCCATCATATAAAAAAATGGCGGTCTTTAAAAGTGGTGTTCTCTAGTGGGATTCAATCCCCGATCACATTAAAACATAAGCGTGAGGACTAACCGTGAAGCCATTCAAGCACTTTTGAGTTAAATAAGACGTATTAATATAATTAAAATTTAAAAGCATGTACAACCTACTTGCCTAGAACTCGTCTTGCCCATTGGGCGAGGTCGAGTTACTCGGCCGAGTCCAAGTAGTCTTGTCCAAGTCTCCGAACGCTGCATATGATATAAATGTTTATGCTTTACCACATACAATAAATCATTTGTGCATATGTCTGCTGATTTGTGCGTGTAGGCACATAAAACCAGTGATTGGGCGAGAGCAGAGATGTTAGTCCATACAGGAGATAGAGTGGAGGTGGAATTAATCAACTGCAGCAGCAGAGGTTTTGTAGTAAGTTTCATTTATTTTGCAATTGTTTGAATATGTAGTTGGAGTAAAGCTTCTATGGAAGTGGATTGCTTCTTATTAATGATGCATATTGTTCCTGTTTTTATGAGTTGCAGTTTGTGAACAAAAATCTATGATGATCATTTTTATTTTATTTTTGATAATTTATTATGGTCAATTTGTCACAAAAAATATTTCCTCTTATATTTCCAGGCATCATTCGGATCTTTAATTGGGTTTTTACCATATAAAAAACTTGGTACTAGATGGAAATTCTTGGCATTTGAATCATGGTTGAAGAAGAGTGGTTTGGACCCATCTTTATTTAGGACAAATCTGGGTGTTCTAGGTGTGTCAGAATCACCAAAATTTACTAAGCCAGAGGTTAGCCTTGAGCCAGAAATGGATAAAAGCAGTGATGACAAAGTTACCCAAAATTCTGCGCTAGATGATCTCCTCGACACTTATGATCAAGAGAAGACAAAATTCCTGTCCTCCTTTGTTGGCCAGGTTAGAATAACTAGATCTATGAAAAATTGCTGGATTGTTTTTTTTTGTTGCTTGGGGTATGCTAAACTTTGTTGAGTGCATATACACTGTGTAGAGGATCAAGGTGCATGTGATACTGGCTGACAGAAAAGCCCGAAGGTTACTGTTCTCAGGAAAGCCGAAAGAAACAGATGAAATGATAGAAAAAAAGAGAACCCTCATGGTATGTTACCTTATTTGTAGCATATGTCATTTTCCTTTACATTAAGTGCATCAAAAGCCTCCTCTAGAGAGCTACTACTATAAATAACAGTTATTTGCACACACAAAGTGTTACGTTTACGATCATATTCATGATGGGGGAGATTTTGTCTTTGCATCTATTTCTACACTTAAAATTGCGGGATTAAATCTCATGCAAAAGAATTCCGGTAAGCCTGACTCGAAAGAATTTGAATAGATATTACTGTCCAAGTAACATCAAAACTCTTGTTAATACCCCCCCAAGGAGCTGTCTTCAGTGGGGGTGTGACTTACATTGAGGACATTAACATTGGAGCTGTCACATCTTTTCATATTTGAAATTCTGTGAGCTATATTTGGAAAAATTTGTCTTAATTTGATGTAAAGTGAGCTCATGTCAGGCTCAGAGGAAAATTTTATCGAATCTACTCCTCATTTACGAAGGACTCAAGCCTAGGCACAAGAATTATCGATAATCCAAGAGGATTTTAATGTAACATTTGAAATATTAGTCTATTTCCTCCATTCTTAAATTTGTAGTTTCATCACTGCTATATTCTTGAGTCATCCCCTGTCACGCTTTGTTAGATCCAGTTTATCAATTTACTTGTTCTTTTACGTTTTATGATTTTTTGGCTGTTTTTTTCTTTTACCATTGTGTTCAAATGCATTCACATGATGATTGTTTCTGTCAAATTTTGACCCCTTCCATGCACTTTTATGCAGGGGAAACTCAATATTGGGGATGTTGTGAAATGTCATGTTACGAAGATCACTTATTTTGGTATCTTTGTGGAGGTAATATTTAGGCATTTACTGTTCAGATTTCACTCAAAGCTACAGTTTCTTCCCATGGGTTATCAAGATTCTTCAAATTTTATGCTTGATTCTGGAAGGTTGAAGGGGTACCGGCCCTAATTCATCAGTCAGAAGTTTCATGGGAAGCAACCTTAGATCCATCTGCATTTTACAAAGTTGGTCAGGTAAAAATGACAAATGTTTCATTCAGACTTACGTCTTTTGTCCTAGTGCCTATTGAAATTTGCTTGCAAAGAGAGGAAGTAGGTTTGGAAACTGAAATGGTTGTTGAAAACATGTAACAAAGGGACATGATTCCAGAAATATAAGAAATTAGACACCTGTGGGAAATGCATGGGGGGTATCAAAAATAGAAGAAAAAAAAAGAGTAAAAGGAAAGGAGACAAAATGTTAAAAAGTTTCTGAGAAATTAAATGAAAAACTAAGGAAATTGGCATGTAAAAAGGTGATAAACATGGGGAAAGATGGAAGAAAAGCAGGAAAATTTTCTTCTTCTGGAAATAAGACAATGTTTTTCCAAGAAAAACATTTGCCAAATACATACAGCCTTCCCAGCAAGAATGGTATGTCGTAAGGAACATGACCATATGCAAGTACTGTAGACCAGCATCATTGAATATCAGTTTGGTTCCATTAGGGTCTCATACCTTATGTTTTTCAAGGAGGACAAACATAAACATAATTGGTCTGGCTATGTCATTCAATTATATCTTCGTCACACTGGAGTTACTAAAGTACTAGAGAAACATCAGGAATATACTGCTAGCCCAAGGTTGACCCAATGATTTGTATTGGGATTCATTTGTATTGTTCTAGATCAAATCTTTCTATGCAGGATATCATCCTTCCCAGAATTAGGTCCTTTGCGTTTTTCTAAAAGAAAGTAAGTCTATTTTCTTGCAAAATACAGTGATAGGTTGTTGAAATATGTGAGGGACAATTTACCTGAGTCCCATCTCCTAGTTATCCTCTCTAACCTAGATGCACAAACGAACTGTCTTTCCTATCAATCAATTTACAGTGGTTTTAAATGGTTTCTGGGGTCTCTCATATATTGATGCTTATGCTTCTGGCTGATAGCTATGAAAAGTTATGCCTATAATCTTCTTATAACCAGAAAAAAACTGTTGTCAATCAGGTTTGGTAGATGTAATTGGATGTCAGATTGTCTAACTTATTCTTTGTTTACTTTTTGTGTTCTGATGGATTTGATAACTTTGTCTTTTCAGGATTTGGAGGCCAAGGTTCTTCAGTTAGATTTTTCTCTTGAGCGCATCAGTTTATCACTGAAACAATTAACAGTATGTTGCCATATAAACAATTGTAATAAATAACAACAATAATTATAGTCATATTTCCATATGGTGGCCATTAGTTTTTCTTTCTTCCCTTGTAGCTACTTATTCAAGTTCTATATTTGGAAGATTGAATGTTCAGATCCCAGTTACTGTAACAAACAGAGTGGTATTTGGATGAGCTTTTGACTAGTTTTCCAAAAGTTTTGATTGGATGGGCTTGTATTTGAAGCCTGACATATTTGTGAAACTGCAAATAGGACATTGATATACTTATTGTCATGGAGTAACAACTATTTACGGTGCCTGGACATTGATTTGAGTTTTAAATCTATTGTGAAGCAGCCTGATCCTCTCTTCGAGACCTTGGAATCTGTAATTGATGGCCAAGGTTCATTGAGCAGGACCCTTGAAGCAGTACAACTGGATGAAGAGGTTTCTTGCAACATTACGTGACAATTTTGTTGTGGTTAGTGCATGTATGTCATGGTCCCCCTTAACTGACTATGCAATATTTTTTAGTGGTCTGATGTGGAAGCACTCATCAAAGAACTGCAACAAACTGAAGGTGTTCAAAGTGTCTCAAAAGGCCGTCTCTTTCTAAGTCCTGGCTTGGTGCCTACTTTTCAGGTAAACTACCAAGTTTAAGATGTCATAATTCGATTTAAAAATACGAATATTCTCAGGAATGGTTTAAAAATCCAAAATGGAAATCTTGGCATAAATTTGTTAAAAATATAAAAAAAAAATCACAAGTATAAATAACAAAATATCATCATCATTGTCAGAACGTTTTCCCAACTAATTGGGATCGGCTACAAGAATCCTGGTCCGCCATTCTGCTTTGTTAAGAGTCGTACCCTCAATGAGGCCATAAGTCCCCATATATTTTCTCATTACTCTCATCTATATGCATACCCCTTACCCTTTTTGAGTTTTTCACTTGAACTAACTTATGCCTCCTAACATGTATTGTATTGGGTCTGGCGCTGCACACGACCAACCCAATAATTCTATTTTTTCTCATCTTATCGCCTATTGGTACCATACTTAAGTTCTCTTGAATGTATTCATTTTAAATTCTATCATTTCTTATTTTGCCACTCATCCATTTCAACATCTTCATCTCCGCTACATTCATTCTATAGGTATATTGTTGATTGACCTCCCAACATTCATAAAACAAAGTTGGTCTCACAGTTGTCTTATAGAACTTGCCCTTCAGCTTCATTGATATGCGGTGATCACATAATATATTTTTAAAATTTAGATTTGTGCAAAGCACATGCCATTGGCCAGTATAACATAACTTGGAGTCTAAGATTCTTTCTCCCTCTCTTGCTATTTCTGACATGAAAGATGACAATCCTTGCTTTCTTTGGGCTCCATTGGAAGAACCATTGTTCTACAAGAAAATATCTACTTAACCACTCAATTGTCTCTTTCCTACGTTTCATGTTTTGAGTTGTACTATTGTTTTCAATTATGAATCTGTCTTTGTGACAGGTATATATGGGTTCGATGTTTGACAACCACTACAAGTTACTTGCACGATCTGGAAACAAAGTGCAAGAGGTATGTGAAGTTTTGAACTTTTTCAGCATGTTTACTAAGGGAAAGCTGTCTCCGCATGCGCAGATCTGCTCCTTTGCTCTCCCTACCGCGCTTTCTCTACATGAGAGAGAGAGAGTAAACGGGAAATTATAATGAAAAATGGGAAATTTTTTATCCTATTTCTGTGCACCCATGCACATAAAAAGAACGATTCACATTGGAAATATGAAGTATTTTGAAACTTCTGATCCTATTTCCAAGAAGGGAATTTTTTTTTCTTTTTCGTGCATCATTTGAAGCCATGCACTCATTTTGAGGGTGACTATGATATGTGTAACTGGTTGCGTGGCTCTTATCTTATTGATAGTTATCATTGTCAGGATATTATTGTTGGGGAGTTCTATTTGGGTATTATCATTGTGTTTGTGTTTTTAACGGGGAATTTAACATATAATTATCAGGAATTTAATATATTAAATTAATATATTATTTAATATGTAATAATTTTTTGAGATTAATAAATATGAATTCAAATTATAGACAATAGAAAACATAACTATGTTAAACATTTTAAAAATACAAAGTTGACACTACGTTCTTGTCATCATCATTATCATTAAAGCCTTTTCGCTACTAATTGGAGCTAGCTACACGAATTCCGGTCTGCCAAGATTATCCATTATCAATTCGTTGCAAACTGCGACCCATTTGCCTTACTAAGGTTTTAGAGCTATTTCTAGGCACATGCCGTGTTACTTTTCAAATTCAAAATGCTTTTTGAATTCAATGCTAATTTGCTTCCATACCACATGAATGATATTGTCCGGAAAGGTTTTTATTGATAATAATGGAGAGCCTTAAGATATCACGACAAATGAATTTTATCGGTATATTATCGGCAAAAGAATATATTGTTCAATTATCAGAGATAATTGTCACTTAGGCGCTCTCATTTATAGTCTTAATACGTATTGTCTCTATTCTACTCTAGAATGAAACGCCAATTTTTCAGAATCAAATCAGAAATTGGGAGCTAATGCAATGATATATATCCTGTTTATGATGCAGGTGGTTGTGCAAGCATCCTTGGACAAGGAGCAGATGAAATCTGCAATCTTGAGATGTACATCAAGTGTGCAATGAAAGCCTCTTTCTGTCTCTCTCTCTCTCTCGCTGTCTCTCACTCTCTGAAATTATAATGTCGTTAATTCTTCCTGTACATTCCAACCATTGTCTTCCTTGAACTTGCAGAGGCTAGATAGATCTTTTGGTGCCTGATCTGTGAGCAGAGTTCGTACGTATATGTGATTTCTCGTTGATGGAAGGTACGCGATGGAAATTAGAAATAGATCTTGGTGATGAGAAAATTGTGCATCGCTACCTCTGCTCGCGTGCATGTGTGTGAGAGAGGCTTGTGCATATGATTCTGGAAAGAGAGAACTTCTGGAGAGAGAGGGGCTTGTGCATATGCTTGAGAGAGAGTGTGAAAGAGAGAGAAAGAGAGGCTTTTGGATGTGCTTGTGGAGAGAGGGAGAGGGTTATGCATGTTCTTGGAGTACAGAGTGTAATAACTGTACATTTACTTCTTTGGGTAAAAATTCAAATTTAATATCTTTTCGGATTCAATCAATTAAAAAAGTTAGGAAAAAGTCTTAAGAGATATAGTGCTCCTGCAGGAGTATAGTTCTGTCCATTTATCCCCTTGAGTAAAACTCAAATCTAGGAGTGTTATGAGGATTTCAAATTTTGGGGATGTTGCATCTTTGCACTGTGAATTAATCTCAATAACGAAACTTTTCAAATCACACTCTCTATTTGCTTAAAAAAATATTATCGCGAGATTACCGAGAGTGAGACCCAAGTGTTAGAGAAAAGTCAAGAATTTTTCTCTTGAAAATACTATGCAAGGACTACCCTAGCACTGGCGGTAATGCATCTGATTCTTTGTTGGAGTGTGCTAGCGCTCAGCAAGCTACAGCTCGAAAGTAAGAAGCAAGGGTGTATTAGCACATCCGTTTTCTAGCTGGAGTGCGTTAGCGCCCAGCCCAGCATCTTGGGTACTTCTCAGAATTTCATATTAAAAAAAATTCTCCCAAATAAATCTTCCGCTTGGTGGCATGATGGAGTTCATGTATATGGTATGCTCCACAATACCATATGTGCTCAAATAAAATCCCACACTAATGTAATGGAGAAGAATAGAAATAAATAAAGCCTCTAATATTCTATAGAGGATTAGATCTAAGTGCTTAAGTACATGATATCAATTTTTTTTTTTCTCCCTTCTTTGAAAAGGAAAAAGTTTATATTGAGGCTCTAAACAATCAAATTGGAGCTGGCTGCAAAAAAATTCACTAGATTTTGAGGCCCCACCTTAGATTGATCATCTCAACATCAACATGCATGGACATGAGAATGGATTTCAAGTTTTGGAAATAGTGTATCTTGTTTCGTCAATTTTCAAGATTTTCGAGTTTTCATAGATCCGTTCAATCTAATATTATTTTTAAAGCTTTAAATTTAATAATTAAATATGGAAATATATTTCAAGGCCTAATAAAGATTTTCAGTATGGAAACCACATTTCTCAATACTATTTGAAGGTGCGTTTTACTTTGATTGTTTGGAGCTTCTGCTCCAAATATACTGCACCTTTTTAAAAATGATATCTAGAGATTCTTTTATTTTTTGAACTTTTTTTTTTTTGCCAAAAATTATTCATAGAGATTCTTTGTTAAATTCTAAAACTTCATAAAGAAAAAGTTCTACCAAGTAGTTTTTTGCCTCGAGGGAGTCTTCAATATGCTCATGCATGAGTAATATATCTGGACTTAAAATCCCTTTTTGTGTTCCCTCAATTTCGTGTTGCAATACCATATGAGTGGTGGGTAATAGGAATGGCAATGGATCGGGTCAACCCTAGCCTATTCCAGCCCTAGTCCGGCGCAGGCCTGGCCCGGCCCGGCCCCAACCTGGCCAAAAACGCCCTGGCCCTAGCCATAGCCATATCAAGGCGCCGGGCCGGTTGGCTGGCCGAACCAAGCGAGCCTTGGCCCAAGCCCAGCCCTGCCCTAACCTTGTCCCGGTCCTTGGGCCACATTTCATACCCAGGCCATAGTTTTAAAGCAGCGGGCTAACCAAGCCGGGTGAGGCCACCCATCGTGGGTAATAGCTTGACGAATTTTGGGAAAGTTTTTTGGGCAGGGCATTTTGAATAAAAAATGGGATGAAATTTGTCCTTTTGCCCTTTTTTGAAGGGCCCCTATGGGATCAGCATAAACCTTTGTCTTCACGTTCCTCAATAACTTTTCACCTACGTACCCGTTTTCTCTTTTTTTTAATTATTAAATTGTCCCTGCTACTGGCCTTTAGATGGTATGCAGTTAAGTTTGCGGTTTCGAATAATTTGAGACCGTTTTAACTTTTAAGTTGAAGGTTAGAAGTTATCAATTTCGGACGTTCAAAATCTGAATTATGTAAATGAGATAAATTTCTTAAATAAGATTTTAAAGTGAGGTTTTGAATAATTTTGAACCTTAAAGAACAAATGTATGAGAAATTTGAAAAAAAATGGAGAATTTTTTGCTCGTACTAGGCAGAAATCTCTCTCTCATCGAGAAAGATTAAATCACTCGATGGTCTTATACTGCAGCAGAGCCACTTTGAAAAGTGGGGTTTGTAGGACCCCAAAATTTGCATATTTTGATCTTGACTATACGATTAAATTCATAGGAATAAAAATAAATCCACAAAAAATGGGAAAAAAGGATTCCACTATTTTTGGCGATGAAAAAAGGAGGGTTCAGTCTGAGCTTCTCAAAACAGAGAGAAAAAGAATGTTATCCAATCATACTTGCACATTACTCTTGTATTAACCAATCATCACCACTCGATACTTGATTGAATGGTTGATACCCCATGGGAAGCATCTCCCTTTCTACACTATGCCACTATCTCTAACATTCGAGTCTGATATGATTGGAGGATACCCCACATATATTTAGTATTCAAAATTTCAAAATAAACATAGAGACAATAACTGCTTTTATGTAGAGAGGGTACGGTTAAAGTGGGTTCAGGGTGCACTTGTTACACTGAGTCCACCCTCCCAAAAGTTTTGTATTTCCCAACCAGAATCTGAATAAATTTTTGTAGGGTTTATGATTTAGGCTTTTTTTTTAAAGTTAGGGTTTAAGGGTTTTTTTTTCTTCTAATTTTGTTTCATGGTCTTTAGGACATTTCATTTTTATTTCCAAGAGATCATGAGATGTTCTTGGTTTTGAAGCTCCAGATTCTAGTTCCGAGGCAGAAATTTATTTACTGTGATTTGGGATGTGTTTCGGGACAAATCTTCTGAAAATGAATGCAGACACCGCCCACCCACCAAATGCTTTTCCATAGTTAATACCCAATATGTAATTATGTCCATTTTGAATAAGAAGTTAAGCTTATGGATGTTTCATTATTAGCCATTAGTACAAGATGAGAATTCTCCTTTTCCATGAGTGATTCGCAGTACAAAACACAAACTGTGCATTCTAATAAGGGCAATGATTTCATGCAATCGTTCTATAGTAATATGATGCAACAGTCTTAAAAAACTACCTTATGGCTATTTGTTTGATCCAAATTTTGAAATGCACACGATTTTCATCCTAATGAACAATCACAAAAAAAGAAAAAAATTGAAAATACAACCTAGAAAGTATTTTTTTAGCCCAATTAACGTAGGCCATTCATTTTGGAGAGATGCTTAGATCGAGGCTTTAGAAGGATTTTTTCATTTCCAATTTTTTTGGATGGCTTTATTATCATTAGAGTAACAATGTTAAAAAATAAAATAATGATTTTGAGTTTATAAAGGCTAAGATCTTGAAATTCACAAAATGAATGGTCTAGATTCGTTTTTGGATGGGACTTATTTTGACCATATCTAGGGTTCAAATTGAATTTTTTTTTTTTTGGGATTGATTATTGAGATAAAGAGAGTGTGTGTACAAATTTTTGGGCTATACAAATACCACAAACGTAGTTTATTAGAAGTGTCGTTGCATTATACTATGATACAACCGTTGCATTGGATCATTGCTCTCTTAATAACTTTTTTTAAGTAAAGGATCATATATTGGGCGCAATAATGGTTTACAAAGAGACTATTTATCTTATGTACATGGAGGTCACAATCATTCCCATTCATTAGATGTCAAATTGGATGGCTTGCGGTGAGTCACGACGTCCAATAATTTTTGTTTTTTTGGAACTTTTCGTCTATTCAATGATACTCGTACATCCACCCATTTTGAAATTTAAGGGACATGAATAATTGTGACCTCCATGCACATAAGATAAATGGTCTCTTTGTAGACAATCCTTTTAACACTAAAAAACAAGAAAAATAAGGGTACTTACTATGTTGCATGATACTTATGGCTACATCCACCATTCGCTATCATAACAAATGGTTGGTTTTTTACAACGTTTAAAAAAAGGTTGTCCGAAAAAATGGTCTAGATCAGCAATCGGGCTAAGTGAACCAGACAATAAAAAATAAAAACAATAGAGAAAATAAAAATTGAAAAATAACAAAAATAAAATGTGGGGTTGGATGGGCTTAATAGGAACTAGTCGGTTCAAGATATGTGATGGGAGCCAGACATATCCCACCAATTCCTTATCTAGATCCGATGGCATTTTTTAAAACTTTGGTTTTTATCATAGAAAAGTATAGGTGGTCACAATTAATCTTGATCATTGGATATGAAATTGGGTGGTTACATTTATTCCATTGGCCAAGCTTAAAGTCCAAGAAAAAATTTCTAACTTTATAATACTATGAGGTTTCATATTAGCTAGTTATAAATAATTGTAACCTCCTTGTACCAAAAAAAAATACTCTTATCTTACCTACAATGGCATTTACTTGAGCATATGGTACTCCAAAGTTACATATACCATCATTCTTATAAGGAAAATTGTTTCTGCGGGCTGGACTGCATTTTTAAAATATGCGTCCCAAGGTATAAAGCAATTAAAACTAACGGTTTAAAAGTTTTCTTCATAAAATCATTATTTTTGTTCATTAAAAAATATTTATTTATTTATATTCATGATCTCCATATTAGGGATTACTTGTCCTTAAAAATTGGGTCCGAAAATCCATCTCAGATTGTTAAGAGTAGACTCATTTCTACCAGGACTCATAAAAACCGTGTCCTCCTTATAAATAGAAAGCTGGAGATTAACCGAGTGGGGCCCACATGGGCACTTAAGAGAGAGTTTGTCCTGCACCAAGCCCTTTACTTTATCACCTACATACATAAGCAATAAATATATGTTAAAGAAAGAATATTAGGTGGTCCTGCAGAACCAAATTGGATATTCATTCATGTAAATTAAAGACCAAGATGGGGGGAGCTTTAATGGGCCCCAATAGAACTCTCAATATGTTTTTATCGCAATTTAAAATCAATTTTGGAAAAGAGAAAAGGCAATTGAGACCCCAAAAATTACCCTATATCAAAAACCCTTATCACTAAAATTGAAATTGGATAATCCACTTTAATGGATGTAACATTTAAGGAACTCTGGATGTAACATTTGATGAGTCTCGAGTTCAATCTCATTTTCCTTTTCCAATTGATCTCAAGAATAAAACAGAGATGACTTGGGGAGATTTTAGGTACAGTTATTAAGGTTGGACGAAACGGATCAATGTATCCGCTGGCACTTTGACGGGTCTGATCCAAAGTAAAACAAATATTGGATTTGGTTGATTAAAATCATTAGTCAACCGTTTTGATCTTGTTGGATTAGGTAGATTTGTCCAATAAAAGCAACTAAAACATTGTTGGGCGATTTCCCTTTGTAATAAATTTAATATTTTTAAAGTTATTTTAAATCTTGTCCAGTAAATTTGAGAGGTGGTTGGACTAGTTTTTAAAGATTGAACCCCTTACACCAGCAGGGATGACAATAGGGGGTGACTTCACTCACCATGTAAGCCCAGACATTGAAAAATGAGGGCTTCGGGCATGACCGTGATTAGGCAACTCCGGCGGCCCTCTTTTTGTTAATTTTTTATTTTTATTTGCATCTATTGAGTCCGACCTAGCCCCAAACGGGCTAGGATCTTTCAGCATGGTCCAAGCAGTACAAGTCTTGGGCAGACCTGGTAGGGACCATGGCCAGGGGCCAGGTCCAAGTCCAAGTCCAAGTCCAACCCGCCCTACTTACTAGTTCCAATAATGCTTATTTTAACGAGGTGTTTTAACCAACGAGCCAATATTCAATTTGGTCAAGCGGGTCATCCTGCACTAACCCAGATGAAATAAAATATGGATGCCATACATTCTATTCTAGATTGGAAAAAGTTTATATAGAGCCGAGGCTCTAAACAATCAAATTAGAGTCCATCTTACTAGTAGGTTTTGGATCAAGGGTGAGAAAAAAATTGATTTCAAGTTTCAAAAATAGTGCATCTTGTAATGTATTTTTTGGACCGTCAATTTTCAAATTTTTCAAGATCTACTCAATCCACACTATTTTGAAGCTTTAAATTTTATAATTAAAGATAAAAATATATTTTAATGCTATTAAAAAGATTTTCAAGTTTGAAACCACATTTTTCGATATTATTTAAAGGTGTGCTTTATTTTGATTGTTTAGAGCCTCAGCTCTAACACGGCACCTTTGTAGATAAGAGTGATGAGTGGTAGAGATAATAGTCGGATAAATGTGTCTTGGTGGGTCCCACTAATATAAGATCCCCATCGACATGATACGCCACACTCCATCCACTAACGGCGGCATATACTATACTCCCACATGAGTATAGTGTATAGTGTTGCATCCCAATCAAAATAAGGAAAGCTTCATCTTATAACTTAGCAAATATTGCAATTCAAGTATTGCTAAAACCTTTAAATCACTCATCTCAGCTTGAACATTATGGTTATGAAAAAAAATTAAGATTTAAAGTTCTAAAAATAGTGTATATTGCAACAAAATTATTTGGACCATCCATTTCACTCTAAAAATAAGTGTTCACATATCCGCAAGATCTATACTTTGATTTAGCTTCAAATGTTATTGTCGGTGTTGGCAATGGATCTGAGAGCCATCATGAAAATTTCTGATGCCCAAAATGCTTTTCGGATCAGGATTTGAGGCGAGGCTTTATTTTATTTTCATAAAGCCTAGGCCTTATAGAAACTTCATCCTTTTGAAAATTGCCTTAAAAAGAAAATTTTGAAATTTAGGTTGTCTAATACTTAGATCTCACCCTCTAAAAAATTAAACGGTCTCTATTCAATTTTGATACATCGTTTTTTTCAAGTGCATAGATGGTGCAATTAAAAAATATTTCTTACTGAGATTAATCTATTAGGTAAATTTAATGGTAGATAGAATTTTACCAGAGGGAGTAATAAATAATATACCCTTGAGGGAATATAGTATATTTTGGCTTAACTATAATATAGCAATGACAGCCTTTAATATTGCTGCCTACCTTTCTCAATATGCAGTTTCTATATAACATAGGCTTTATGAGAAAGGAAAAGAGCCCGGACTTATTTGGTTAAATGTTACATCTTAAGCTAAAATCCTATTGGGGCCGTCTCCCCACTAACTCACCAAAAAAAAAAAAAATTTAAAGGAAAGAGGTTGTCTTTCCCCAATGATTTTATCCGGAAAAAAAAAAAAAACTTTATGATGAGAAAGTGGAAAAATTATCATAACAATCATATTACCGTAAAAGCATCATGATACTTAAAATATCGTAATGAACTTTAAATGTATCACGATACTTAAAGTGATGTGATAATCTAAAGAGGTATCATGATACTTAAAAAACAAGTTGCTCCGGTATAATATTTAAGGTTAAAAAAAAGAGTATCAGGGCACCAAAAGAAAGAGAGAGAGCGAGAGAAAGTACTAGGGCATCAAAAGAGAGAACTAGGGTACCGAGAGAAAGAGAGAGCGAGAGAAAGTACTAGGGCATCAAAAGAGAGTATCAAATAATCCTAAAATTAAATTCTTTCTGGATTAGGAATCGGTCTTTCTCATCATAAGTTAAATTCTTTCTGGATTAGGAATCGGTCTTTCTCATCATAAGTAATGGGAGGAGTGGAAAGCTTTTGCTTTTGTGCGTGGCCGAGGCTGAAGCAGACGGGAGGGGAATTGAAATCCTGGCGAATAGAGAGAGGGGAGTGATGTTTTTATCAAAAAAAAAAAAACGAATGTAATTTTGCATTGCAGAGAGGCTATTAGAAAAGTAATGGTGTAGAGAGAGGGCTTTTTATTAGAAAACTAAAGTAGTTTTTGAGAAAGAGAGAAGCCATTAGGAAAAAAATGTAGAGAGAGAAGCTAAGGTAGTTTTGATTTTTCAAGAGATGTTATTAGAAAACTGATGCGAGAGAACGAGAGGGAGAGAGAAAAACAAGGCAGTGTTTCCACTTTGATGTGAGGCAAATTATATTACGGTTTTTTTAGTTATGTGATATCTTTTTTGGTCATCGGGACTTTAACTACTTTGATACATTTAAAGTTCATTACGGCATTTTAAGTACGGTGATGTCTCAAAACATTAACGACACTTCTTATATTGTAATTTTTTAACGGTAATATAACTATTGTGAATACTATTTTGATAAAAAAAAAGAGTAAAAAGTAAAAACAAAGAGGATAGAAGAGGTTTGGAAAAATATAAGATTTTTTCTAATTAGTCCCCAATTAAGATAAATTTCTCATAATTTTCCAATAAAGTAAAGCCCCACTCAATATTAAGGACTTCGGGTATCAAAAATCCCCATATTGCTCTAAAATTATTTCCAATATCAAATTATGAAACTTGAAACTTAAAAATAATCATATCTTGCGTATCCGTGAATATTTATTTGAAGGATGAAATATACCTACTCGACGAAAAAACAAACGAAACAACAAAAATACAACGAGACCATTTACCAGGTCACCATTACTTATATTTCTAAGAAGGATGAAATATACACGAAATATACTATTTTTAGCGCTTGAGAATCTTCGAATGTTTTTTCACATCCATGGCAGCGATACTCGATTTGAATATTTTCAATGAAATTTACAAAACCCCCTTCCCGACATCATTTGTCTCACTCTCGTGTCCTGATTTTTTGAACTCTCTCTCTTCAGGGTTTGAAGCTGGATTTTGTCTCTCTTCGGGGTTTGAAGCTCGACTCTCTCTCTCTCACCCCCACGGTTCGATCTTAGTATCTCTCTCTAAGAATTAGAAGTTCTCTCTCTGGCATCGCCTGTTAATGTGATTTTTTCTTGGAGGTTTGAATTTGAGACTCTCTCTCTTCAGAGCTACCATCTTTGAGACTGTCTCCCTGAGTAATGGGTTCCAGGACCAGTACATTCGTGATCAGGTGGGTCAACCTGCTCACCATGGTATGTATTTACTATCCCATCACTCTTATCTATCCGCCTGCTCTTTATTTCTTCTGCTCATTCCCCTTTACTGCTCTCTTCTACTACCATCTCTCTCTCTCTCTCTATATATATATATATATATTTTCTATATAGGATTCTTCACATTCACCTCCTTGTTTCATTTACACTCCCAGAACCCAACTCCCCACTGGGTTTTCTCAAAAACCCATTTCCTTTCGTGTATCAAATAACCCTTTCTGTAATCCCACTACTCATTTTTCCCTTTCTCCTTGAATCAGTTTTTCTATGAAACTTTCCTTTTAGTTCTATTCATCTCTTAATGTGGGTTATTTTCAGCTTCGTTCTTTACTCTTCTTTAGCGGTTTCACTATGAATCTTCTCTTTCAGTTCTATTGATTTATTCTTTTTCTGAAAGTCAGTTTGATTGATTTCTTAATATGTGTTATCTTCAGCTGTTAGCTTTTGGGGTTATATGTTATGGTATTTGGATGAGCACTCATCATGACGAATGCCACAAATATCTCACTCTCCCTGTAATGGGGCTTGGTGCTGCTATACTCATTATGTGAGTTCTATTTATCAAGAACACATTATTCTGCTTTTTGAAGGTCCCATTGTGTTGATAACTCTTTTTGTTCTAGTCGCATTGGATTCCAATTTCTTGATATTGGGTTCATTTCCTCCTTTATTTTTTTAAAATTTAATTATAAATGTTATATATTTACTTCTTTCAGATCTTTAATAGGATTTTTGGGCGCGCTGAAGGACCTACCAATACTACTATGGATTGTATCCTCCCTTTATTATGGTGTGTGCTGTTATATTTTTGGTATATAGTTATGGGAAACCATATCATATTCCAATGGACTATTGAGAAAAAACTATACTCGATTGGGTCATCGTTGTCCATTGATGATGAGTGGTGATGAAAGAGAGATAGACACCATTTGGGTCATGTGTTCTTCTGGTGGGTCTTGGTATCTCTCCATTACATTCTTTCGTTGGACTGTCAAATGGGCTATGGTTTACCCATAGACCATTGAATAATAGTCATTTTACCCTTTAATTGTGTATATTATTTTTCTTTGCGGATAGTAGTACTTAACAGACTGATTGCAGTACCTGTTGATTTTGTGCCTTATCTTGGTTGGAATCCTGGTTGTCACTGCCCTATTGTAAGTACAACTGGTGCAAAGTATGAGTTTTTCTGATGTAAACATTTGGTTCTTTTACTTGGTGTCCCTTGTATTATTTAGATCTTGTTTGGTTGGACTGTGAATGCTGAGCAGTAGTAGTCCTCCTATTACATAGCAAGAACATGTACTTATTTGCAGTTCAGTTGAAGGATGAACTTATGCCAATAACTATTATTACTTCAAAATTTGATGTCAACCATGTTGAGAATTCCAAACATTGTTTTTTTTTTCTTCTTCTTATGGAATGCTTATTTGTATGCAAATCTGCCCGTAATTGGTACTATTAGATTTTCCATATGTTACTGTTTAGCATTGTTTATGAGAAATAGGCATCCTGATGCAAATGTGGCTTTGTAGCATCCTGATGCAAATGTGGCTTTGTAGTGACATACTGATGCGGAAAATAGGCTTGTTGGTACTATTAGATTTTCCATATGTTACTGTTTAGCATTGTTTATGAGAAATAAGCATCCTGATGCAAATGTGGCTTTGTAGTGACATACTGATGTAGAAAATAGGATCGCTAGACATTCTATATACTTAAATGTCTTGGAAAAGATATTCGAGAGAGGTGAAGAGGTGTTTATCACCTTCCCATGTGTTATGGTGAAGATAATGGTGAAGGGTTTATCCTTTCTTGAGAGGCTTAAGGTCTATCCAACATCCATGATAGAAGTTCAAGTCTTCTAACTGCATTTCTCAATATTTGAGGGCCAGTTAGTTGTGCTTGGCAATTGATACCTTTTGTCAATATATGTGTTTAGGGAGGTGTGGCAGGAAAGTAAGCATAATATCTTCACTGGCGTGATAGCATACGGATAGAAGGTAGATGACACTGGAACTTACTTCACAGATGTGCATATCATGGGTTTTGATAATAAGAGTTGGGGGCAGCTTAGGATGGAACAGATGGAAATTATTCTGTGCCATTTTCTAAGTATTGTGTTCTGGTGAATTGGTATGACCATCCCTTGGGTGTATGAAGCGGAAGTTTGATGGTATTTTCATAGGTAACACGTGTATCAATTGGCATTGAAGTATCTAGAATGAGAGAAGTAAGGTGGCTTGGTGTTCTATCTGCTTGTTGGGATTCTTGGTTTTTTTGTTGGTAAGAACTGGGATCTCTTCAAAGTCCCTTAGCAGAATGATGCTATTTTGGGGGCTTACCCGTCCCATCCGAACTAGCCAATACCATGGAAGAGATCTAGGATTAAACATCACATTCTTAGTCTTCCTTTAGCCATGTATTTGGAGATGTCAAAATGGTTGTAGATGCCCCTCATTTCGGTATTTGAATAATCTGTCGGAGTTTCTGCTCCTTTTTTCAGGGACCACAACATAGGATTAGTTGTTTTACTTTAGAGGCTATAGGGAGTTTGCATTGATTGAGAACAATGTTCAATAAGTCGGAGGCGGCTCCCTAGGCGGTGGGGGGGGGGGGCACGGGCGCTCATACCCAAAAACAACCAGTGATTTTTTTTTATTTTTTCTAAATTTGGATCTCCTGCACCTACCCTCATTTTATTATAAATAAAATTGTCTATTTTATTATTTTATAAGTAAATTTGTATGTAATATATTGTAAAGATGCCGGAAGCACAGATCAAACCTAGACATTTACAACTTTAGACAGTAAATGAAATAATTATAACTCAAAATCAACATTAAAAGATAAAATGAACTCAATATGTCATATAAACTAAGAATTAACCAATTATTAAACTAACTAATAAAATAATAATCCAAATAGACAAGAACTGTCACACCCCAAGAATTTACAATACTGTTATTCTTGAGATGTGACAGTCAAAACATATATACATCTCTTGATAGGACAAATTTACAGTGGCAAATTCTTACAAAGT